GCTCAAAATGGGAGAGAAAGAGGACGTGTGGGCAGGGGGGGTCTCAAAGGCCGGCTGGGCTGCTCAGGGCTGGTGGGAGCTGGGAGCAGTTTGATGTCTCTGACTCCTGAGCTGGAAAGCAGAACGTTTTCCGGGTTAAATTTGGCTTTTCGTGGGGCTGCGGAGCAGCGGGGTCACCCGGGGACGGGCCCCTGGCCGCCGCTGATGCTCTGCAGGATGATTTCTTTGCCATGTGCCCTGCTCCACCTCCGGCATGGGGTTCAGCTGCCATCCCGGGGGGGGGCGAGGACAGGGAGGAAGCAGCCGAGCAGGAAACCATCTGACTCACTGGGGTTGAGGATGACTCCGGGCGTGTGTCATCAGAGGCTTGGCTGCGGCGGGGAGGGCACGTGGGGTTTGATTCGGCGCGGAGCCCTCAATAGCAGCCAAGGACATGGGTGCTGCCAGGGTCCGGGCTGGGGGGGGGGTGGGTGCAGCCCAGCATCAGTCGCTGAAGGTGGGGAGGTTGAGGAAGGGGATGAGCTGGTTCCCCGCGCTGAGTCAGCCTGGGCTGGGTAACGGCGCGGTGACATGAGGATGGGGAATGCTGGCTTTCGGTATGCAGGGGCCGAGGACGCGGCACAGGGTCCGTCCCGTGCTGTGGTGCCCATCCCTGAGCCGACAATAAAAGCCACGAAGCGGGTCCAAGGGCACGGTACTGAGCCAGCAAATAAAACAGTCTCGGTACTGGATGCTTTCCCGCATTCACCCTGCGACCTCTGTGAACCGCTGCCGCTCCCCCTGCCTCAGGTTCCCCGAATCTTTAAGTGAAACGCTGGGATAGGGACGGACGTAATTTAAAGAAAAAATAATTTCAGGCAGAGATTACCCTGGAGAAAGGAAAAGGACCCAGCCCAGAAGCCAGCTGACGTCTCCCCAGTGATTCTTTCGCTTTTGCCCCAAAATGATGCACACCCAGATGTGCACGGAGCGAGCAGACACCGGGGGACTGGAAACTCCCAGCCTGGTTCTTGTCAGACACGTGGCTTTGGAGAAAGACACAGAGCAAACCTAAACCTAAAGAGGAGTGGCTTCCCTTTCCCAGAGCCTGGGACCGTTCATGGGAAGATGTGGCCGAGACCTTTCTGCGCGAGGATAAGCCACCCCCAGCCCTGCCCCTTCCCCTTCCCCTTCCCCTTCCCCACCGCTGTTTACTGGGCAGGAAACGCTTGCACTTTGCCGCAAGCCGCTGTCACGCTGTAACTAGGATCACCGACAGCCGTCCGAGGGATGGGGGAAAGGGTCCCCTCTACCTCTGCCGGGGGAAGGGCATCCTTCATCCCCCCTGCTTCGGACCGCTCCAGTGGTGCCCCCGCCCCTGCATCCTCCCCTCAGCGATCCGGGACGGATCTGCCGGGGAGGGGTGCTCCACGTAGCTGCGTTGATGGGACCGTCTTGCAAATAGATAAACTGAGGGATTGGTTTTTTCCTCCGTGGGTGGAGGCACTGAGTTGGAATGAAGTTATTCGCAGGCTAATCCATCTGCGGCGCTGACCCCTTAGGTCTAGCCCCGATGGGAGGGTTAAGAGAAGTCTTCAGGCCAAAGAACATCGCCCAGCTGTGGTACTGGTGCTGGTACTGGGACCATGAGTTATCACCATCATTGCAAAGACAAACCTGGCTTTTGGGGTGCTTGAAGCTCGGCCTGGCACGGCCCAGCTCCCTCAACTTCCAGCTGGTGGCAAAAATTGGGCAACTTGAGGTTTCTTCAGCCTTGGGGTGGATGGGCCTTGCCCAACGGTGGCCTTGGAGCTGGGAAGGGCAATGCTGAGCCTTTGGAGGGAGTCCTCAGTGAGGAGGTGCGGATTTGCCCTGGTTTGGTACAAAAAAAAAAAAAGGCATCGAACTCGTTACACCCGCAGCAGCTCTAACGATCCGGTTCTTCAACAAAACGTCCTGCCCCATGTGCAACTGTCTGGGGCTGCGAGCACGCCCAGCGCTTCCCAGCTTAAAACTGTTCCTCCTCCATTCAGTTTAAATTTCCTCGGGGAAACGCTATTATTTACGATGGAAGCCTTCCAGAAATTAAATTGCCCCGTTCCGGATCCTAACCTAGTGACTTTATTTATTGGGAATTGGCCATGATCTTACAGAAAAAAAGGTTAAACAACGGAGAAGGTTGTTTGTCTGGAAGGATACTCGTGCTTCGGCGCTGCAGGCTGAATTCCCCTCTCGTACCAGACCCTTGCTATGATTTGAGGTGCGCTTGGGTGCAGGGGGGGGTTAATTGGAGTAACGAACCGTGGGGCTGGGAAGCCTTGAGCAGGGAGGTGGCCATGGCTCTTCCTCGGTGGGGGTCAGGTCTCACTCGGGAAGGAGCTGAGCTGCTGCCGCCCTGGAGCCGCTCTGCAGGACGCCCTGACCTGCCTTAGCTGCCAAGTGGGACGATGTCGACGTTCGTTGGAGATGATCCGGGTTTTAAAGGGCTTTGGAGATTAGAAGAAGGTCACCCTCTTTCTCACGCTGCCGATTATTCTGGATACGGTGGAGGACATGGGGAACGTGCTGAGCGGCGCCTGTCCTGGAGAACGGAGGTGAAACCTCCATGTTGTTGCCCTGTGCTGTGATTTTGGGGGCTGGTGGGTCGTGCAGACGGTGTCTTCACCGCCCCGTGCCTTGGGCAGGGATTGAGGAGCAAACGGTGATGGCTTCTTGTGCATCCAAGGTTCCAAAGCACCCAGCTTCTCTGGGATGAGATCTTCCCCTAGCAGCATCTTGCCAGTCTAGGAGGAAAACGAAGCGGAGGCAGGAGAGCGGACGGGAGAGAAACACCAAGAGCGTGTGGTCGGTGCGAGTGTGGAGCTCTGCCGCAAGCCCTGCTGGAGTTGGTACCCCGCTGCTGGGATGGGGATGCCTGGATAGGACCCCATCCCCACCCACCATGGTCTCTCCAGGACCCCCTGACCAGTGTAGGCTGCCAAGAAGTCAAGTGAAGGAAGGTCTCATGGGGACGAGAGGCTGCTGGGAGGCAGGGCACCCCGGGTTTGTCTCTAATTGTCACTGACACCCCGGGTCAGATGCTGCTGGAGAGGAGAAGGGCTCTGGGTGAGGTCCCATCCGTGCCAAGGGGCACATCAGTGGCTTACGAAGAGGTTGTGGAAGGTCCATGTGAGCTGGGATAACGCTGTGGCTGCAGCTTACAGCTACGAGATGGGGCTGGGCCATCCATCCTGGGTCAGTGGCATCCACAAGGTCACTTGGGGGCAGCTGAGCCGGAGAGTTCCTACCCTGGGGCTGGGGTGGAGGTGGGCTCTGGGCTCAGGGCCCCTCCTGAAGCTGGGAGAGGAGGGAAAGGGTGGAGGTGAGCTGGGGCAGCAGCCGCTTTCCCTGGGCCCGTAGCCGGAACCTGGGAACGTGGGTGGCAATTTTCAGCCAGCGAAAGCAAATAGAAGCGGAATGAGCGGAGTGTTTGACTTCCTGCTGCTGGGGTGGATAAGGCGGCACTGGTAAACAGTGGGAAACACTGGGAAGCTTCCAGCTTTCCTTATCCTTACCCCTCCCTCACGCCTGCCTGGTCTCCCAACTGGCGGGCGCTTGCTCTCCGCTCCCGATCAATGGGAAGGAGCTGAAAGCACCAGGAGAAATCAGGGGGAGGTTTTGCCCATCGCACCGGCGAGGATGCTGCTCCCCGGGGAAGCAAGCGGCTCTCCCGGCGCGTGCTCCATCCTCCCACCTCGCCATGGCAAGCGGAGCAACCGGGGACTTGGCTTCCAAATTTCCAGCCGAGCATCCCAGGCCTGAAACGCTGGCAGCCAAAACCAGAGCAGAGCTGTTTTGCTCAGCCCAGGGTCCGAGCGGCTGCATCCGTGAGCGAGGTCACGCTGGGGCGGGTGGCTATTACTCGCCCACAAAATGCCCATTTCCTATAGCGTAGCCCTGTAAAGAAAAAAAAAAAAAAAGGATGCTTGATTTTGGATGACCGTATGTTACGTGCTCACAGGCAGGTGAGCTTGCTGGGTGGAGTTTTCCTCTGACTTTGCAGGGCTTGCAGCTGCCCTTTAATTAATTTTAAGTGAAGTTAATTGAAACAGGGCATAGTTTGGGAGCTGGCACCCTATCCACCTCTCCGCTTCCCTTCCCTGCTCCGGCCGGGCTGTGGAGACATGCGTGGTGCTGATGGATGGGCCGGGGAGTTTTTCCATGCCTTTCCCGGGGAAGATGAGATGCTTTGATGCCATTTATAGGAGCCGGGCATCTTCATAGCCTCAGCATAAGGGCACAAATGATTGCCAGGAGCGAGGGCTGGGGTGGGATTTCTTCCCTTTCTGGCCACGGCACCCACTTGTGTCCCGCAGTGTTGTTTGCTCGAGGGAGCTGAGCAGCTCTCAGCACCTTAGCCCTTTGCAGGGGTGATCTCAGCAGCAAAGAACCCAACGGGCTGTGGATTCCTGCCGAGCATCCTTCACGTAGGGAGAGGCCCCGGGGGTCAAGGTCGAGGCCCATCGCCGCCGTGGCGTAGGAAGGGCTCTGCTGCAGGAAAACCTCCGGCGCTGACCTCCTGACTCACGGCCCGGGCGGAGAAGGTTGCCCAGTTTGGGTCCTGCTTCTGTCGCAATCTGTTTGGGTGCCCGTCGGTGAATGAGCGGAAACGCTGCTGCGGAGCATCGGGAGCTCCTTGGGGCTCGGCGTTCCCAACCTGGCACCTGCCTGGGCAAGGGGATGCGGCCGAGGGGGGGTGTGGGGTGGCATTTGGGGAGCTCTTTGGGGAGCGGCCCCGGATGCGCAGGAAGAGGTGCAAGAACGGCGGTGGCGTTATCGGCGGGCCTGGAGATAAGCTGTTGCGGCACTGCCGGCCGTGCCGAGTTGGGAAAGCGCCGGCACAGCCGTGTCCTGCCCTTTGGGGTTGGTCATGACCTGCTCCTGCTTCTCACACCGGTCCCAGCAGACGTGGGGGGGGCTGAACACTGTCCTGAACGTGTCACGGGGGCTGTGCCTGTGTCCCCAACCCTCCAGCTGACTTTCTTGGCTTGGTCTCCACCTTTCAGATTGACAAGTACCTCTACCACATGCGGCTCTCCGAGGACACCCTCCAGGAGGTGTCCCAGCGTTTCAGGAAGGAGATGGAGAAGGGGCTGGGAGCAGACACCAACCCCACTGCCTCGGTGAAGATGCTGCCCACCTTCGTGAGATCCACCCCGGATGGGACAGGTACGGGACGGGAGATGCTCCCTCCTGGCGGAGCAGAGGGAGGGCGCGGTGGGGAAGTATTGGTAGGTGCCAACACGTGCCGGGAAGGTGGGTTGAGGCCACCCATCCTCCATGGCACCCACGGCCACCTTCGCTCCCGGTCCTTAGGGCTTCATCCTGCTTCTGCTGAGCAAGGCTTACTGTGGGGATTGGTCTTGTTCCCCCACCAGGCTTGGACTGGGGGGCTCCCAGTTGCCGCTGACGGGAGGGAAGGTGGAAACCAGCCCTCGCGCGCCCTTGCTGGCAGGATGGAGACAGTCACGGGTCTGGCTCATCAGATTTCATGAGCGCTGAATCGGGCAGCGGTGCCAGCCGCTGTCTGAGTGCCACGAGGGCCGTGGGAGGAGACGGGGGCTCTCCAGACTGGGCTTCTCACAGTACAGCCTTTCTGCCTGCCTCCCGTGCCGGCAGGAGCTGGGCTCATCCCCTTTTCAGGCTCCAGCTTGCTCCTCTCAACCCAAAAAACCGCTTCCTCAAGCATCCATATGGGAAATCTCCTCGTGCGTCCCTCTCGTAGCCTGGTGCTTTGGGAAGGGGCTTTGGCGCGCTCCCTGCAGTGTCGCGCCATGACTGCCGGCACGCAGTGGGATGCAGATGCCACCCAGGACCTGCCAAGTCTCCCGGTGCTCGAAGCCGGTGGGGTGGTCCTGGCTGCTGAAGGGCAGGAGGGGACAGAGAGCCCGGAGGGGCTGGGGCTGCCCCCAGCTCCGCGTTTGGGCTGGCAGCAGCCCTGGGGAAAGTCCCCAGGCCAGTCAGTCCTGTTGGCCAAAGTTGCTCGGAGTTGGGGTTGTTCTGGCGTCGGCACCTTCACGGGGGTTCTTGCAAAGCCTCGGCGGCAGAGATTGCCGCTAGCCAGCACAGGAAAGGTGGATAAAGAGGGAGGGAGCTGATGGAAAGACCCATCTGCCCTTCCCTCCCCATCCCCGGCTGCTTTGCCACCCCTGTATTTTCATACCTGGCTTCGGGAGGCGAGCGGGTCCCAGCCAATGCCGTGGCTGGAGCCTCCAGCGTCCCGGCATCGGCGAGCAGCGACTGGGCCGACTGGAGTTTCCTCTCCCGGGAGGCACGGCGGGCCGGTGCGAGCCTGCCAGTTGAGTGACGGTGTTAAACAGGGCGTACCCGAGAGGTAGCCCTGCTCAAACAGCCAAAAAAACTCCCTCGCCACTGGCTGGCTGCTCTCTGGAGGCAAGGACAAAGGTGACGAGCTGAAGGTCTGCATCACCGACCAGCTCTGGTGTTTGCTGGTAACATCTCGGTGAGGTCTGGGAGGGGGCGGTGGCATCTCCCAACTCACCGGGGAGTCACAGGCATCATAGAATGGGTTGGAAGGGACCTTTAAAGGCCACCCAGTCCACCCCCCGGCCACAAGCAGGGACATTTTCAGCTCGATCAGGTTGCTCACAGCCCTGTCCAACCCGACCTGGAACGTGTCCAGGGATGGGGCATCCACCACCACCCCAAGCAACCTGGGCCAGTGTTTCACCACCCTCAGTTTAAAAAAAATTCTTCATTATATCCAGTCTTTTAGTTTCAAACCACCCCCCCTTGTCCTATCGCTACCGACCCTACTAAAAAGTCTGTCCCCACCTTTCTTACAAACCCCCTTTAAGAATGGAAACATCCCTGCCCCCAGAGCCATCCTGCCTGCTGAGTCCCACATGCTCGGCTCCCCCCCGGTGCACGTACGCCCAAAAGCTGGACCTGGCTGCCTGCTCCGGGATTGAGATTTCAATCTATTTAAATATTTGAGAATATTTTTAATTACAGGGATAGCCGGAACGCCGCCCCTGGGCACGGGAACTATTGCAGCCAAGGGTGCTGGGTGCTGGCGGAGCGCGGGTCGGAGCTCTCAGCACCCTGCCCCATGGTGCAACCCTTCTCCTTGCTCTCGCATGGGCGAGCCCTGGCTTTCCTCACCGCGTCCTCCCGCTTTGCAGCTTCTCCAGCATCCCAGCTGGCATTTCTCACCCAAGGCAAGCTCAGCCGGTGGGGAGAAGCGGCACGGCAGGATGGAAAATGTCACGGAAAGGGGATGCGGGGGCAGCCATGGGGCTGCAGCCGTCCAAAGCAGGAGGTTTTCGAGCAAGTCCCAGCGAGCCAAGAGCTGGGATTCCCGGTATGGCTCCAGCTGGATCCGGGCCGGGAGCGGCATCAGCGTCTCTGCCGTTGGGTTTGGGAGGGGGCGTTGGAAAGTGGCACATCAGGGCCGCGGGGGTGAGCCGAGGCCAGCCTGGGCCGGGGGGGGCCAGCTCCCCTGGCACATGGTTTCACAAAGGGATGGTGCGGCAAGGGCTCGGGAAGAGCTCGAAGTCCAGGGGTGCGTCCTTCCTTCCGTCTGCTTCTTTTTGTTTTTTTTTTTTATTGAAAGCTTTTGGGCAAACACTGACTGCAGCTGGGCACAAAGTCCTGCTCCCACCCGAAAGGTGGGGCACCGTGCTGGCTTTGGGGCACCGTGCTGGCTTTGAGGTGCCATGCTGGCTTTGGGGCACCGTGCTGGCTTTGGGGCGCCGTGCTGGCTTTGGGGTGCCATGCTGGCTTTGGGGTGCCGTGCTGGCTCTGGGGCTCCGCACCTTCCTCCCCCAGAGCGTCCCTGCCCTTCCTACCCCTCCTTGCTACAGCGCGAGTTCTCTCTGCTCTCGGATTATGCCCCGTCTAAGGCGCAGGCGGCAGCTCCCCGGGACCCAGGCGGATGAGAGGTGCTTAGAGAAAGACAAGGTCACGTCTGCGGGTTGAAGTCAAAACACAGACCCAGCTCCCGACCGCTCCACCCTCCTTCCGCGCTCTGGGTGGCTCCGCTGCTCCTGATGCAGTGGGATAAGAGCGGGGGGAATTCTGCTTCTGGAGCAGGACCTCTCCTAAAAGCAACTTTGCTTTGCTTGGCTCCAGCACCCACCAAAATGTGGCCGTGCTTGCAGCGAGGCGGTGGGCACCCTACCGCAGGCTGGGGGGGGGAACAGACCCCAAATAAGCTTTTCCTTGGTGCCCCAGTGACTCTGAGCAAGTGCCCTGCTTGCTTAGTTCAAACACCACCTTCCTCCCGGCTCCTTTCCCGGTTTTCCCAGGCTTTGCCACTGTCACCACGTCTCCTCCTCCACGCTCCTGTTGACACAAGGATCTGGTGCATCCTCTGCTAAGCCCCGGCTGATATCCATGGCCTGGGGTTTTCAGGATGCTGCTGCAGGACTTTGGCGGTCAAATCCCTGGAAATTCAAAGGGTGGTTCTTTGCAACACCCTTCCCTCAGCCGGTGGGCTCCGTTCCCACCGATAACCAGCTTCTTCTGCAAGAAAACCAGCTTGTGTGGCCCATGGTCTTGAAAGGCTTTAGAGAAAAACCCCCGGTATCCATACAGGCTGGGGGAAGAAAGGATGGAGAGCAGCCCTGCCCAGAGGGACTTGTGGGCACTGGTGGATGAAAAGCTGGCCATGAGCCGGCCATGGGCGCTGGCAGCCCAGAAGCCAACCCTGTCCTGGGCTGCATCAGGAGAAGCGTGGCCAGCGTCGAGGGGGGGGGTTCTGCCCCTCTGCCCTGCT